GAAAATTTGCAAACCTTGATTAAACTTGAGAACTCATGGATCATTTCCAAAGCCCTAATAATAATAATTAATTAACTCCCTAATTATGGATTTACCGCTCAAAACTGTAGGTTTCCGATTCTTGTTATGATTCATTGTATAATTCAAAACAAAGAAACTTTACCAGAATTGAATTTCCAAATACTAATTAAATTAAATACTACATAAATATTCCAATTCATAAATTAAGACCTTAGCCCTCACATTTTTTGAATTACAAATTGAACCTAAATTAGTACTTATATATATATATATGTACATTTATACCTTAGATTTATTTTGTATATAAATATCTTCTAATTAGATACAATTTGTACACAAAAATCAAGAAAAAATCTCCTCAAATCCAATTACTATAGCTAGCTACCTCATCTTTGTATATATAGTGTACTTTTGTGATCAAATATAAGATATGGAAAGATTTAGAAAGATATGGGAGATATTGAAAGATATGTGGATATATGGAAAAATTTTGTACATTTACACATATATATACATACTTGTACCAATTTTCAAATTAAACAACACTACTAAAAAAAGTACTTTTTGCGACCGCTATAAACCGTCGCAAATAATAAAAAACAGTTGCAAAAAGCCTTTTGCGACGGCCCATGCGACGGCAAATGGGGTCGTGAATATGGGGTGACAAATACTTTTTTGCGATGGCAAAGCAACAGTCGCAAATTATTCACGATTGCCTAAATTACTTATAGCGACCTCTATTTTGCCGTCGCAAAAAACAAAGAAAAATACTAACATGATTTTTGGCGATCATCTTGTTACCGTCGCAAAAAAATAAAAATAAAATAAAAATAATAAAATAAATAAATAATTTGTAACGTTAAGCATTCTAGGAATAGCAATGACAAGAATTCATACTGTATAACATTGTAATTTAATCAAGCATTCCATTTAAGTCTCAAAATTTGACCGATATGTGAAAGTTATTACAACTAAAAACTTGGAAAAAATTCTGTTATGAAAAAATTACAATCCAAATAGAATGCTAGTAAAGTCAAAATCTACAATGTTGGTGTTCACCATTGTACAAGGTACCGATTGAGTTTCAATTTGTTACCATGGACATATATGTTCCTCAAATCCAAGCTTGCACCTGATCAATACACATTATAAAGGGGAATAGATTAGAACACAGACTACCCAATTTCTAGATCTTTCTTTAGATATAAAGCCTCAAGCAGAGCAAACATTGCAAAGAAATTATGAAAATCAAAACAGACAGCCAGAAAACAACCAACATGCCATTTACAAAACAGAACAAGAGTGGTTCCATATAGAAACATCTATGATGAGTGCATATAAAAAATTATTGTCCATTTTGTTTCCTGGTCATCCAGCAGGAGAAGCCTCCCTAATTTAATATTTTATCCCTAAGTATAAGACAGATAAACAGTAGACAATAAATGTACTCCATCCTGAAAGACAAACAAGAAAGATTTGATCCTTTCTGCCCTGTTTAAGTAAGATTATACCAATAATCTAAAGAACAATTCATTAATCAAACTTTTAAACGTTCCAACTGCCACAAATGAACAATTTTTAGTAAACCTTCTAGTCCATGCTTTTGAACTCTCTTGACAAATAATATTAGTAAATGCCACCTGATACCTTTACACTAGGCCAATAAACCAACCACATTGAATTCTAAATCAGTTCAAAACTCTCAAGAATGATAACTTAGTGACTATGAAATGCATCAAATTAAGTACATGGCTACAACAGATCTCATCAGTCTAGGGAACTCACAGCATTGGCTGTCTTTTCTTCTAAATTTTTTTGTAATATTATAATGTATGCAAGCAGTCGGTAAAAACTTGCAGAATGTACAATGTGCAATTTGCATTTTGCACCACAGTAATTACGACGGAAATTGTAATCATACCTCAGAACGCAGAGTGTGAAAGTACCCAATTAGAGCAAATTTAGAAGCAGAGTATACGGCCTGACCTGGTGCAGGTGTCTTCCCTGCAGCACTACTCATCATCAGCTAAAAATGCATCTTCATCTAGATAGCAAGACTTTTGCTTTTATCATTAAAAAATTGAATCGATTTAAAAGCATTTCGAAAACAAAAGGGATATGGTGCAAAAAAACAATGGAAATGCAAGGAATCATTAGAAACATAAACTAAAACTTATCAATATGTATATACTAGCAGTAACCCATGTTATGCATGAACCTTATATTTCAAAATGAGTCATTGTAGCCATCTCATAATATAAAATTTGTGATGATATAATTATACCACTTGAATTTTCTGCACAGATGCCAGGCAAATATCAAGAAAATGGATTAAAGAGAAAAATAAGAGCAAAAGGGATTAGAGTTCGTAGTGGAAGGACATACCAGAAAGCTGTTTCTTGACTCTCTCTAATTCAGCTTCATTTCAAGCAGAAATGATAAGCTTAGCACCTAAACTTGCAAGTTGTTTGGCAAGAACCTCACATTCCATCCAATAGTAAAGAGAAAAATAAGACTTTCTATAAAACATGGAACAAATGAAGCTCCAAAGTAGGAAAAACTCACACAACATTTTAGCAAATAAGAAGAAAGATGCCTAGAGCAAAAGAACCAAAACTAGAGCTCAAAGCATTAGTTATTGGAAAAAGATAAAGGAACTAAAAATAAAATCTCATGATTCCAAATTATTTTCTTTATGATTAAAAAAATATATGGAAAAGGCCAAAATCTTGAACACCTAACCCATTTAAACAAGTTTAAAGACTTGATTCAACATTAAGGCCAGGTTTCATCAAGAGATAATGTACACACCTGCAAAACATTAAGCATCATCTTAAAATCAGTAAAGCACAAAAGTTACCAGGGCATTCAAAGTTAACAATAAGAACCCACCAGAAGTCATCAGTCCTTTTCTTGGTTGCATTTGAAAGGTGGTCATTCCAAAATTACATAATAAGCTCAAAACTCGAATATTTATATTTAATAGAGAACCTTCTAGCAAATGAAACAACCATCTAGAAAAAACAATGAGATTCCACAAATTTATGGTGTTTGCCTCGGAAAAAGACACCACGATGCAGAACAGGATCCCACTCCCATCCAAATTCATCCCAGTTTGACAATTTCTATTCCTAAAACATGAACAATATTGGAATAATGAACTTGGCCTGGTCGTTTATGCACATAAAACCTATTTCAAGAAGATGAAAACTGCTAAGTGAAAAATAAAAGAATATATACACACAACATACACATAAATGAATTTAATTTAAAGCTATAATTTCACATAGGCATATGCTATTTTTCTAACAAACAAAACAAGTATTCTCCTAAATTCATCAAAGGAGCTCTAAGGCATACCTCAAACAGCTAATTATCAGCACTTAAACCATGAAGTCAATACTTAACATTACTAAATCAAACGTTAAACACATAAATTTGTTTACTAAAACAGTAATTAATCGCATACCAATGCCACGGCTTGCCCAGTGATCCAGACAACCTAACCATTCAACAACAAAATAATCAAATCAATACTTCAAACATCAGAATAACAAACAACGTGATATAAGTTCTTGAACGGTGATCTTGTTCTATAACAAAATTTGTTAAAAACTTGGTTTTATGTTTAGTCTTGCAATGAACAAACTACAAGTACCGTCCGGAATGGTCTAGATTGATAATGTATAACTTTATGAAAGTGTCCAAAATGAAAATAAGGAATAACGACTGGTATATGAACTAAAGGACCAGGTGGATGATTGCGAAATTATTAATAGTTTCAGAAGTCAAAGAGTGAAGTGGGGTCATTATAATAATAGAATACCAAGCATGTGGGATTGAACAATAGACAATGGGGTTATTATAATATTATAGACAGAAATTGATTTATAAAAGATGGAAACGATCATTTCAAAAACATAAAAAATCAAGCAATGAGAATCTAGAATATGCATAGATATTTTATTGAAAGCAAACCTACCAAGTGTAGACGTCCCCGAACGCCCCGGGAGGATGAGTCCCGTTCTGTTCATATTGGGTTCACTACAGTTCAGGACTCTCAAATTGTCACGGTTCTTAATCTGAACCAAAGAGTCCAAATCCGGCAAATCGTTTTGGAAAATAGATTTTTAGAAAAGAAGTGCCAAACATGGACTGCTTTGCCAGATATAGAGTCGCCACCTAAATATTTTATTTTGGAAAATTTAGGAAACCCTAACTCGGTGCCAAAGGCCACGTGTCCGTCATCACCAAAGTTGCCTCGGCTCGAGAACTTAGGTACGATTGGGGAAGGTCAGCTATGAGCACCCTTTCTCGCCCGATCAAAGATCGGCCTCTACTAACCGTGATATCTTGTTTTGAAAGCATTATGTGTTCCTATTCCGGTTATTAACCTAGAATTACTATGTGATGCGCACAACAAAACAAGTATAGACTAAATTGCCTAAGTCAGAACAAAGTATCGCATTTCCGTTTGTTTGGAAAATGGTTTGAATTTTGCTACTCGCGAGTAGGCTAAAATACAGATTTCGATGAATTATCCCAATTAAAACAATCCAACCTTCACCCATAGGCACTCATTCAGTAATATCACCTAAGCACATAGCCACATGGTAAGCATGCTGTCATGTTAACATTCACACTTATGCGAGATGCTAAAGCATAAATACTTACATCGTACTCCTTGCCAAAAAATGAACTAGTTAGTAATCATGCATGATCCTAGTTCATGTTAAAGTGGCTAATGCATTACATACAAAAATGTCATTAGAATGGGCTCGGCTAATCTAAGGATGACATGTGAAATACGAGGAATCGATATACGTATTCAAGTTTGGAATTGAAATACTATGCGGTTAGCATGATACGCCGAGCCCGGTGCATGCAAGGCTGATGAATGATGCACGCATGCATAGCATAAGGTATGTTAAATTAGACGTGCCCTAATACTAACCATCAAAAGCAGGTAAGTAAAAGGGAAGAAACACGTGGGGTTGGGAGACATACACACACTCACGCACACTTATTACACAATTGCCCTCACCCGGAGGGTCTGAATAAATATTACACAACCAAATTAATTATTACAGAATACCTAACTAATTAACAAATTAAATGCAGAAGAAAGGGGGCTGCAGCCCTGCCTCGGAATGTGTGAATGATGCATGCTTGACTCGTCTCGCCCGAAAACTCGTTGCCATAGCACTGCTGCCTCTGTTTTCACTGCCTTGCTCCTCTGAAAATTCTGAAAATCTCTAGACCCTTTTTGGATCATCCTTTGAGTGCTCTGGGATGTCACTGGCCAGAATTAAAGTTCACCGGCCATGGTAATGGGATTATCGGCCAACTTTTGTACCACCGGCTAGCCACTGATGGTCGGTTGGCACTGTAGGTGGCCGGCCGGCCATTGCTTCCTGCAGAATCCTGCAGTTGACAGCAGCAGAGGGCAAGCAGTGTATGGTATAGAATTTTTAAGCAAATGTGAGCATGGCTACACTCCCTATCATGCAATGGACTCAAGGGAGCATGACCCTCGACCCTCGAGCCATCAACTACGCAATTCGAGGCATGATGGCCTAAGAAGCCAAGTTAGCAACTTAATGTAGATGCACGCAACAAACAAATGAGTGCTAACACCCTATCATGTTGAGATCAAGGGTATTGGCGACCGAGGGTTGAGACGTGTTTCGTCACTTTGGGTACGAACACACCTCTCCCCTCATGCTTGGTTTGACACCCCAAACTAAGCGATGCAATGCATGTATGCCATATACAATGCGAATTGATGCAACTCATGCAAGGCTACACTAATGCAATATGAACATGTCAAGCATACAACAAGACTATATAATGCAATTCAGCTAAGTAACATGCAAACATGCGAACATGATGCAATGTAAGTACACAACCAATGCAATGCAACATGTCAAACATGCAAAGTGTGCAAGGATGGGCTCATACTGAAATGAGAAGGCCTCAGCCCACCCTAAAACAGTGGCCAAAAGAGTCAAAAAAAAAAAAGGCACAACTTATGCATGCAAGCATACACACACCAAGGCCTATCACCTAAGCATGAAAGGGGATAATTCTAAGCATACTTAAGGGCAATATGTTTGGGCATTAAACACTCATGTTAAACTCTGAGAAGTATGCAAAAGATGACACCAAGATATGTTAGGGAATGGATGCAAAATAGAAGGTATTCAAGGCCACGAAAGAGAGCATTGCTCAACACCTACCCCAAGCAAACATGGTATGAGCTAAGCAACCCAAAACAGAGTTTTTATGCATCAAAGTATGCCCCAAAACCCACTGATATGGCAGCCCAAATGACTTAAACAAAGAGACATGCGCACAAGCCCAAACATGGAGCATAAGACCACAACTCTTCAAGGCATTAAAAGGGTAACAAATGCAAGCATGTAGGCATAAAACATGAACTGAAATGGCATGGCAAATGATTCCAAATCACTGAAATAGACCAAATGAGGCATGCTAGCAACTCACACACCCGAAGCTAACAAGTTAGAATACAAAGAGGCTATATAAAGCATGGAAAGCATGGCTCTAAAGACTCAAGATAGACCTTAAGCATGTTAGAACATGACCAAAAACTTCACAAAACTAAGCCAAAGCATGCAAACATGATGGTCCAAAGTCAAGATGTATTTCTAGGCAAAATGGAGGAATACAAGGCAAGTGTATTATGCATGCAAGAGGTCAACAGACCGACATGGGATAGAGGTAAAACATGCTAAATAAACACCAAATAACCTCTGAAATGATGCCAAACAAAGTTAGGCATACATGCTACCCTTATGAGCCAAAGATGCAAACAAAAGAGAGACAAAGGGAGAGGGGTGTCCCTCCCCTATGCAATACCTCAAACTCTCTTCATCACCACTAAAAATCCACTGGATTTCAGTGGTGAGAAGGCCAAAGCACAATAGTATTCAAAGCTTAACAAAGAGAGCACAAAAAGAACCAAACAAGCCCTAAGAGGGGGAGGTCGACCCCAAACAACAAAACAACCTTAATGAAGTATCTTAAGCATGAAAATACAAGACTTTTTTTAGTTATACACAAAGTCTAAATCAGTAAGCAAGATAGGTCAAAAGCTAATGCAAGATTGGAGAATCTAAAGCAAAAGTGTTACCCTTGAAGAACACCTCAAGAACACCAAGTCCAGCCACCTTCTTCTGATCAAAACTAGCTCAAAACCTCAAGAATAAACCCTCAAGACCTCCCAAGTCGAAGTATGGTGTAATGGTGTGTGTCTTAGTGCAAAACTAAGAAGAAAACACACCTTTAGGCTCTCAAACACACACAAATGAAGAGAAGGAGGGAGATATAGAGAGAGAAGATGTATGTATCAGAATATATATGTTCTAGGCCTAATTTTGCTGAGCCAAAACAAAGGAGAGGGTTTGTCTCCTTATATAGACCATCAAAGATGTTAAGCTTCCAAGAGAAGCTAATTAAAAGGATCAAGGCTTCTTCAAGAAGCCAAGGCAAAAGGGCCAAGGCTTCCTGAGGAAGCTAAGGCAGGGTCCAAGCTTCTTGAGGAAGCTAAGACAAAGGTCCAAGCTTCCTCAAGAAGCTAGACCAAAAAGGTGCAAAAGGGGCAAAACAGCCACAGATGTGCACGGGGGCAGGGTTTGTGCATTCTTGTGATATAGAATAGAGTAAGAAACAAGAAGTTGATCAAACAGATACAATCAAAATCAAAGACTAAAATCACATTACCAGTAGTTTCCTGACGAGCGTCACAGTTTCAGCATGAATAGCAAGGAAAAACACCGTGACATCAGTCTTGAACTCTTCATACTCAACGCGAACCTCATTTAATAGAATATCAAGCATATGGGATTGAACAATAGACAATGGGGTCATTATAATATTATAGACAGAAATTCATTATAAAAGATGGAAACGATCATTTCAAAAACATAAAAAATCAAGCAATGAGAATCTAGAAAATGCATAGATATTTTATTGAAAGCAAACCTACCAAACTATCTTACATGGACTTGGGTATGTATCTAGAGGTTGGAACCCATCAAACCTCATATTTAAGAATACATGTACTTGGCAAAAAATGGTCATATTTTTATATTTTTAATCTATTATGTGAAATAAAATGATTATATGTAACATACAGTGTCAAAAAGATATTTTATTCATTTTATAGTAATTATACAACAATATATACATATAATGATAGTGTTAAATACAAATATATAAATGTCCAATGAAAAGTATCGGACACATATCTTACCCCTTTATCCAAATGTCGGGTGTCCGACAAGAGTATTTGGTTTATTTTAAAGTGTCCATGTAACTTAGTTAGTGGGCCTTCCAACCACCATCTCTAAACATACACATAACATCTGTAGACAGAGAATAAAGATTACTCACATTTGGTAGTTTAAGGTAACCACTAGGGGTCTACGACATGCAAAATTATGCCATGGAAAGTATGATGATTTATGGCATAAAAAATTATATACAACATACAAAGTACGTCATTAATGTTTAATTTATTACTTTTTACAATTTTATCTGCATGCCGTAAATAACGCTCAACTTTCCATGGCATGTCATATAATGACATTTGTGTGCATGCCATGAAAGAGTTTTTACGGCATGCATTGCAAGCCGTAAAAATTCAATTTTGTTATAGTGAAAATCTCTTCAAATCTTTATCATGGCCAACCGTTATACCACCCCCTAGGTTATAATGCAAATAAAATTAATATTCTCTAAAATTATGAGAATCAAATCATATATATATACATATTTGTACCTTAATTCAATCTTTGTCTACAAATATTTCATCCAGTTGTACACATAAAAATCTTGAAATCATGGCCAGCCACTTTTCTCTTGCTAGGACACACTAGGATCTTCTAGGATATACTTAGGACAAAAAAATCCCTTAAATCTTGGAAGCCATGATGAACATGGTATAAACTATATATATATATATATATGTATGTATAGATGTACTTGTAACTTGAAGGCACTTAATTAATCCTAAACTTAACTACATTATGATTAAAAAAATAATTAAGGTTCTAATCATCTTTCATTTCATTACATTCAAACTAAATCAAGGTACTATTCAATTAAATTGGAACCAATGGGCATTTTGGACTTTTCGCACCAAATTCGCTATAAATATACCACTTATCCTCATTTGTTGAATACATACACACTCACACACACTACGCCACGGCTGAGAAAAAGAAAAAAAATAGAAAGAGAGAGCTTGCTGGTGGAGGAGAGGAAAGAAAATGAAGAAAATGTGCAATCGTCTCACCTAGACACCAAGTAAGTCACAACACAACCCTCTCTTTTATTTTCCTTTTTCAAATACATGTTCTTACAAGTTCTAAACATTAATTTCAGATGTGTTTTAATGGTATTCTTGTGTTAAAAATAAAAAGAGTTAAGCCTTGTTCCATCCTTGTGTTTTTTCATAATCAGTACAAAACTAATTTTTTTCTACAAGGATTTCTCATAATTTCCAAAGACACATCTTCAATTCCAATTTCTGAGTTTAATATATATTATTTAGCATGTTTTCATCATAATAAAAGTGAAATTATCCGTGGTTACCCTCGTTGCTTACTTATTCTCCTATTTCAAGCTTGGTGCTCAAAGGACTAGTTTTTCAGACAACTTGTGAAAATTCTAGAAAAATGCAGAAAAATATCCTTAGCCTAATTTTTATTTCAACACCTTAATTTAAGTGTTATATTTCATGGGAAAAAAGTTTCATCAAAAAAGAGTGAGTGGTTTGAGAGAAAACTTGGTTTTCGTAACAGTCGATGAATCTGGGCAGCGCTAAAGTATTTCTTGAATAACTAAAAATCTAGGAAAGCTATGCCACTTTTGAAAGAATTTCTAAAAATTAGATAAAATTCTCTACAAACCATAGAAAGGCTACGTTTAGGAAAAATCTAGAAATGCCTCTTTGATCGCAATCTTTAAAGTGCATCAAATCTGAAAATTTACTTTTGTTGGTAAACTTATGTTCTTGACTTCATGGATGTGTTTATTATCACTTGTTCATATCTTGGTATGATATTGCATGTGTTATGGTTATGTTCCTTATCTTATTCATATGATGATGCTCATGCTTATGTGGATATTTCTATCTTGTTAAGTTGTTCGAACTTTAATTTAAGACATCTAACTTCACGGATAATTAGGGTGGTATTGGGTTTTCGATCGCTTGAATAATAAAGAGATGATATTGTGTTAAGTATGGACGGATGGGATGTGTTCCCTAACTAAAGGTTAAGTCTTACACAAGCGGTTATCGAGTGAACCCTAGAATGGAATGGATGTATTTGGACTATTTGCGATGGTTTGATTTGGTGAGTTGAGGTTGGGTCTAGATGGGACATTCAGGAGGATAAAATTCTTTTTGGGAAGGATAAGGTTGGATTCAGAATGATAAAATCTTTTTCTTTTCGTTGCCCTTTTTGAGGTCCATTGATGGCGCTGCGAAGTATATAATCGTTGCAGACATCCATTGTAAGCTATGCAAAACAACAAAATGGGGAGTTCTGAATAATCCGGTGTCCAATTCTTGCGGTTGGGATAATAAAATCTCTTTGGGAGATTTCTAGAATACTAACATCTAACCTTGTAATCCTTTGTTATTGACTTGAATATCATGGTTCATTACTTGCTTGTTGTAAATGTGATGGTGTATTGGATTAGGAAAAACAGATAGGGTGTGTGTGCATTTACTAAGCACTCAAAGCTCATTGGCATTTCATGCCAGGTATTAACAAAATTAACGCAGACAATGGCAAAACAAAAATATTTGAAGCCTTAAGGCTATCCTAGGAGATTAGAAAATTGTAATCATGTTTTGAGATAGTAAGTGTTTAAACATTTAGCGTAATTGAGATACGATCTTATAATTATTACTTCGCTTATATATCTATATAAATTCTATGTAGCCTAACCTTATTTTCTCGTCAACTCATGTAGTCCTTGTGATAATACCTTATCAAGATTTGTCAAAATGTCAACTTTGCTATCTAAGATGGTTGGACTTCGAAGGAAGGCTATATTGACTCCTCCGACCTTCCAGTGATCTTATTTGGTTATTAACCAAAGGACTCATTAATGACGTTTCCCACTATTGTAACCTTAGATAAACTCTATATTTATTTGTTAATATATTCTTCAATGTTCTCGATTTTTAGGGCATCACAAGCGGTCTTAACATCTATCTAATGCATTTCAAGATTATACAAAGCTACAATAACAATCAGCATGCGAATGAATGTTATTCTCGTTATAGGAGAATATGTGTCAAAATAGTCAAGTCCTTTTTATTTATACCCCTTAATTACAAAGCGAGCCTTGTATTCATCAATTGAACCATCTGCTTTCATCTTTCTTTTGAAAATCCACTTGTATCCAAGTGGTTTTCAACTTGGAAGAAGATCAACCAACTCCCAAGTATGATTTTGTAGAATGGATTCAACTTCGCCACTTATAACCGATTACCATAAAGGTGCTTCAGGACCTGATATCATTTCTTTAAAGTTTTGAGGCTCATTTTCAAACAAAAAGAAAAAGAAAAAAAAGAAAAAGAAAATCCGGACCAAAAGATTTAGAAGTCCTTAGTCTTTTTTCACGTCTAGGTTCATCTTCCTGTTGGTCTTCACCACCTCCCATGGCGTCATTAAAAGTTCGTTTATTAGAACTTCGCTCTTCCAATTCAGATGACTCGGTTTGTTCAGCCATTATCTCTGTATCTGTAGGTATTTGATTCTCTTCATCATTTTTTTTAATGAAAAATATGTTGAAAAAGGATGCATTTCTTGACTCGATAATAATATTTTTGTGTATATCGGGAATACTTGACTTGAATACCAAAAACCGATAAGCACTACTATTATTTCCATAACCGATGACCACATAGTCAACGGTTCTTGGCCAATTTTAGTATTTTTGGGACTAGGGACTGTTACTTTTGCCAAGCACCTCCATACTTTAAGTAATTATAAGAAGGTCGATGACCTTTCCATAATTCATAGGGTGTTTGGTTAGTTTTCTTGTAGGTATCCTATTTACAATATAATTTGCTGATAAAATAGCCTCCCCCCCACCCCCACAAGTTTTAGGGTAAACTCGAACTTATCAACAAGGCATTCATCATCTCTTTAAGAGTGTGATTTTTCTTTTTAGTCACTCCGTTTGACTAAGGAGAATAAGGTGTAGTGGTTTGGTGAATGACACCAAGTTATGAGAAGAACTTATCAAATGGTGCATCATATTCACCGCCTCTATCACTTCTCATAACCTTAATCTTCTTGCCAAGTTGATTTTAAACCTCTACCTTATATTGCTTAAAAACTTCTGAGGCCTCATCTTTATTTCGCACTAAGTACACATAATAATATCTTGTGCAATCATCAATAAAAGTTATGTAGTATTTTTTACCACATCTAGTTTGCACAAATTTTAAATCACCAATGTCGGTGTAAATTAAAGCTAGTGGTTCAGTATTTCTTTTGACTTTATTGAATGATACTCTAGTCATTTTAGCTTCAACACATACTTCACATTTATGATTAGGATCAAAATTAAAATTAGGTAAACATTCTAGATTAACAAGTCTATGCAAAGAACCATAATTTAGATGTCCTAATCTACTATGTCATAAATCAGAAGAATCAACAATATAAGCAAAATATGTGTTCTTATTATTAGAAGCAATAGTTGGTACAACAGTTAACACATTAAGTTTAAAGAGCCTATCAATCATATACCCATGGCCCACATACATCCCAGCCTTAGTAAGTACGACTTTTTCAGATTCAAATACTACCTGTTCTTAATCAACAATGACGTGCGGGGTTGTTTGGGATATGCTATATAGGTGCACTTTTTGACTTTTTGCCTAAAAAATTAGAGAAAAAAAGATGTATGTTTGGGATAACTTTTTGACTTTTTACGAAAAGATGTGTAATAAAATATTGTAGTAAAATCAAAATGACCATTCTACCCTTGTTGACTTTTGGGTAGTTAAATTCAAAGAGCAATATAATAATTTTTCCCTCTTGGTTTCTTCCAAATAGTATGGACTTTTTGAGTTTTTTAGTAACTTTTTAACTTTTTGGCTTTTGTAGGTTATCACAAACCAAACCAAACCAAACCAAAATTTTTGAATTTTTGAAACATGGAGTATATTGTTGAGAGTGAGTTCTTTCCCTGAGGTCATCTTCAACACTATTTTCCCTTGTCCTTCTACAGTTGATGTGGAGGAGTTTCCCATGAAAAGTTGTTCGCCATTCTCCACCACTTTATAGGTTGTGAACATCTTCTTGTCTGCATAGATATGATAGGTTGCTCCAGTATCCACCCACCATTCTTTAGGGTTGCCCACATGTTGGCCTCAGAGACTACTGCAGAAAG